GGGGGGGGGGGTCTTCGACCTGAAAAATCAGGGGTTAGGATTTGCACCCGGTCGAAAGAAACCTTGCTATCGCAAGAGTAACTCCAGCTAGCTTCGCTAGCTTTCGTGACAAGAACCCTTCGCTCAGGCGCTCTCAGGAAAATAACAGCTGGTCAAGCCAGCTGACACTGAAGAGCCACATACCAAGTGCTTGGGCTAGCTCCAAAGTACAGTAGCAGTAGCATGCTTCCATCTACCGAGATCAAATTGGTATGAATTGGTGATGAGTGAGGTGGTATCGTGCACGCCGCTCACACACATGCACCCAATGGAGAACACATGTGTTGGCTTCTTTTTTCGTATTAATGGGTAAAGCTCGGTTGAGGCTGGTCCGTACCTAACAGACCGGACAACAGCCCAAAAGTGCACAAAAATGCTAGAACCTCAACGTGGGTTGCCCTCCCCCATTTGCACCCAATTTGTTGCTCTGTCCTTATCAGGTTCCGCCGGCAATGGCAGCTTCTCTTCAGTGGCGGCATACTGTCCCATGGCGCACAACCTGAAGCCATGGCACCACCCAGTTTTCCATTCAACTAGGAGTGTCATGCCGTCTTAGACTCCTAAAAGGTCCCAAGAGTGACTTAAACATAGAGCCTGTAAGTGAACCTAAGTCAGGCCGGGTGCACACCCTGTATGACTCTGGTATATCGAGAACATGGACCAACGGAGCTCTGGGATCCGAATGTTCGATTCCACCAGGCTCTTGGCACCTGGTCCGTACTTCCTGGTCCTAAGCCATGGCAAGTCTGGTGCCCGTGAGGTCAGCCAAGGAGCTTGGCTATCTTGGCCAAACTGCTATTTTCGCTGGATATCCAGTCGTGCGAGAGGCAGCCATCCAAGCTCAATCTATTTTCTGGTCTTGGTTTGATCAAAGCCTGAATCAAATCCTTTGCGTTCTGTGAAATAGGCCTCAGTTCTGCACAGATTCAGTCTTCAACATTCAAATGCCAACGCGGCTGATAACTTTACACAAGGTGGAGCTTAGGCAAACTGGTAAACACTGAATACCAAGGACATCTTTTGGGGGTGTGCTCCGTGCAGGTCTGCACGCCTCCCGAGCGCACTCGCGCGCTCCGTTTCCCTTGACCGAGGCGCCGGTCGGCCGGAAAGGACACGGCCGCCCTTTTGATTTGCTGGTCGATGGGCTCTTTGAGTCCATCGAAGGGATATGCGCCCACCAGCATGACGTAGAGCACCTTCGATTCAGGGATCTTTCACCGGTACCGTCCGGTGATCTTTCGATCGTCGTGTGGGTATCGTTCTTTCGCCAATTCATCCAAGCCATGGTGATTTTAGCACTTTAAAGCTGTCTGAACAAGCTTTAATCGCAGGCATTTGTGTCGAAACCAGGCTTAACCGTTAACCATCTTCCCCTAAGATGTGGTGTGATATGGGGTAATTATAGTCAAGGCTGCTTGGAGATGTACATAATCATATTCCCTCTTTTCACAGGCTTCTGTACCGCCCAGTTTTTCTTCCATCGATTTTTCGCCCAGCAGCAACGCCCAAAGACCACAAATCCACACGTTGACTGTAGCCCTGGGCTGCTTTCGCAGGATCTGACACCTCTGGTGCCCAATACTGCGGGGTTCCAACCTGCCGTTCGATGGAAGAGCGCCGGTCGTGGCACACGAGTCTGAAGCGATTCTCTGAGTAGACGAAAAAAAGCAACGTAAGGGAGTAAGGGACAGGAAATGTTGGAGGACGGTGCCAAATCCTTGTGTTAAATTCAACCGGTCACATCACACTAAAAGTGGATGCCACAGCCTTGCTAAAACTCTTGCAAGCCACCCGCGTCAAGGCTGTGCTGTATCCGTCGTTGATAAGCTTGGAGTGTCCGAAATCAGAAAGCTTGATTTCCAGCAGACCTCTTCGCGAATTCTTCTGGTCCTCAAGACTCAATGTGATTCAAAAAGCAAGAACTCACTCATATTCACTCTCTCCCCATCTGACATGTCTTCATTGACCTTGAGCCAAGGACTTTGGTTCAGTTGCGCTGTGAAGGCCTCATCCCTAAAGCCAAGAGTCCACCAAGATGTTTTCTGGTTTCAGGTCACGATACACGATATCCTGGGAGTGAATGTACTTCAGCCCCTCAGCGATCTGTATGAAGACCTCGTCCCGACCGGTTGAGGCATGCTGTCGGTCCGAGCCTGCTTTTCTTGCCGGCTATGGCCTGTCAATTCTAAAGCTCCCTTTGAACAAATCAGCGATGAACATGGCAGGAATTGTCTCCATGGTCATTCGCTATGGCAAAAACGGAGAGAGGTTGTTACAAGCCTCCAAATATAAATAATTAAGGAAACAGTCTACACACCGTACTACGCATGTCACTCAAAGTGACTTCTTGTTTTTCTCAGCCGATGGGTTGCCGCGCTCGATCCGTTTTCTCCGCTCAGCCAAGAGACATAGCGTGCCGCGGGCTCGGTGAACGCGCCCACGCGGACGATTTCGTCAAAGAGCTCGCCGCCCTGGACCAATTCCATGACCTCAGTGAGTGCCAGTTTCGCTGGAACATCCCAAAGTCCGCAATCCGGGTGTGGAAAATGGGGGAAACCTTTGGAAACGCATATCACATCAATCGTTGATGTCTATGGGTGTATAATTGTATATATACATATATACACCCTGGACCCTACACCCCAAATTATGTCTAATGTTATGTAATGTTGGTGGTATTCACCTTGATCCCTTCCACTCAACCACACATGGATTTGAACAGATCTTGTTCAAACGACACTGACCATGCATGACTGTGTCTGTCTTCTTTCTGCTTGTGTCAACCTCTTGCCTTTCCAAGGCACCCACCAAAATGCAACGTCAAAACAGTTGGAGCACACCATCTCCTCAGGTTCCCTTCTAGATCCCACGAAGTTACTGGGTCCAGTGTACTTTGACCAACTTGGAGGGCTGCTTCTCCTCCGCCCAGTGGCCAAATGCAAGGTGTCATTGGCCTCGACGACGTCGAACAGCGAGACAATCCGTGGATGCCGCAAGGTGAACAGGATGGACACCTGGCAAGCAACGATTCGAGTAGTAGAACTCCATGACACTGGAGTAGAATCTATGACGAAACGAGTCTTTTGGATGGATTTGGTGCCTCGCGCATCAGCTTGGAGGAGACTTTCTTGAAATTGGGCTGTAACCGAAGCTTGCCCAAATTGATGCACTTCACCTGCTGTTTTGGGGTCACTTGACTTGGCTAGGTTGGCATCTGTTTCACGACATCTGAACGGCACAGCTCTCAGGGTCAGACCGCATACTGTGTACCGTCGGAGGTTCTCGTGCACCTCTGACACTGGACATCCAACCCACTTCTTGGACATCACTTCCAAGAAGGCAGCCAAACCCCCAAACATCCAAACATCCGGGTGTGAACGCAGTCAACTGATCTTCTCAGCTTGAACTTGTGCCATGTGGCCGATAAACAGTTGCAGTAGCACCCGTACCAAGCTCCTCTCCCAAGGCATAACGGTTGGGCTGCTCCTTCGCTCTCAGCACAAACATGGCGGTATTGGTCAAAAAAAAGTCATGGTGATTGCGGCTAAATTGGTATACTATAGAAATTGTCAGATATATAGACATCAAAATACATTCTAAAACACAATACGGCATATTAGTAACTTGTAACCATATAATAATACATCTATATACGGGTAGTTTGGATGTCCTTGATGCCAAAATCGGGCGTTTCATTCTCCATCATTTGTGGTGTCGTTTGGCGATCAAAGCCAGTCCGGTGGACCAAAGCAGCTGCTACCGGCAGCCGGAGTTGTAGGGGAGTTTGGCACACTGGGAGGCAAAGGCGCCTAGGCAATCTTAGCCATGTGTTGTTTAGTGGTTGATATCTCATTCGAGATACTTTAGTGAGCAACATTGAGCAAGACTAATTGCACGTCTTGCATCAAAGAAAAAAAGTCGTATTCAACGCCATGGCACTTCACGATTTGCAGCGGGCAGGTCCTCGATTGCATGCCCAAACAGTGGCGGGAACCACTTCAAGGAGCTTGTCCCCAGGGTCATTCTACTGACAAACGCTTTGCTTGGTTCACATGGCCTTTTCACTGCCTTGCACCCCAAGTGAACTGTGCAAGCATGAACACAATTGATGAATTTGTAGAACTAGTAGGGACATGTAGAGAATGATAGCCTACTGGGATGATTTTTGTATAAGTAGTCCCTCTCGCATTCTCTTTTCTGCTTTTAGGCTTGAGTTTCCACACACCATGACTAACTATGGTGAGCCCGGGACAGAAATCCCCACGGCCGAGGCGCTGGGGTGGGCGCTGGCTGACCACCGGTGGCTGCGGCATCCCTTTCGACACCTCGCAGCGAGAATGCGAGGATCGCTGCACACCGGTGGTTCGGCTCCAGAGATCCGTTCGGTTCAACGTTTTGACCCAATCTGGATCCCTATTTGGGGCGTTGAACACATGGAATTTGGACCAAAACCATCGATTGGGATCTCTCTCTCTCTCTCTCCCTCTCCTTCTTTCTCTGAGTTTGCATTTCCTTCCAACATCTCATCTCCCTCAAAGCATTGCTCAGCATGGCCCAAGGACAACCGTATATAACAATAAGTATATAACAGTATATATATATATACATAATAAAGAAACCAGGAACTTGTCCCAGTCGTCATCGAAGGCACGCTTTCGCTCCAGCGGTTTGAGGCTGCAGTGGTTTGCAAAGTCCTGCCAATTCTCCAGGACCTCTTGCACCTGTGAGGCCCGGCATAGCCGTACTGCCAAGAATGTCTGTGTGTGTGTGATTTTTACCATTCTAGCATTGGCCTTGGAAGGTGACAAACAATACAAAGTAATAAAATGGAATAGGCACAAACAAATACTGCAATCGTTTCGTGCTGATCTTGCAAGCACCCCATTATATGACTTGAAGCATCCAAGGTGCACTGATAGCTCCCATATTTTGACACCATTCTTGCGCTTTTGGTTTGTAACCTTAGGCGTTTTCAAGCCACAAACCTCTGCTCAAGTCAGTGACAGTCAGTGCAAGCCTTGAGACTTGGCAAATGACAATGACATACAATGACTATGCCCTTTGCGTGGAAGCACGATCATAATGTAGGTCTCTGGAGTAAGTAGTGTGGTGGTATAGGTGACGTTAACTTCCCCCTTCAACCTCCCAGACTTCTAAACAGCAGAAATTTCAACAAGCACTTCAAGTCTCTAAACCTTTAAAAACTTCTACACGAACCAGGATCTGTGGCAACTCCTCCTACAGGCGATAGAAATTTGAAGAAGGGATGAAGGGACCCTCTTTTTCCACTGGATACCCTCACATTTAGTGTCGTCGTCGTGCACTTGAAGATTGGGTTCAGCTCTGGAATGGTCGAGCGGATGGCGTTGCGAGTTTCCTGAACTGCGATCGACTGGCAGAAGTTGTCAACTGTTTGGTGAAGAGGCTGGCTAGCACCTTTAGTTTCTTGGTTGAAGCCGGCTAACTTCCAAAGGCGGAGTTTGAAAGGCCATTGGGATCATTTCTAGCTGCTCGGAACATTTGAAGTGGCTTCAGCTTGCAAAATGTCATTGCGTTACAGCTCCAACCACACGATTTTGATAGCAGCTTGCCACTTTCACTGCAAGAACACCTGAGAGTCGAGAGGTTTTTGGCCTTTGTTCAGCCGATTCGGCTCCCGTTTTTCGAACGGATATGAAGCAGGATCTTCGGTGTTTCTACGGCCTGACTTTGACCACCTTGACCTCCGGTGTTGGGTTCTTTGATGTGGATCACCGCCGCATTTGGGTTGTGACTCCGATCCGCGGACGATCAGTCGACGTCTTCGTCCGGACGGGCCAGTCGTCCACGCGTGGGGAAGAGACACTGGTAAATGGGCAAGTTGTAGCGAGTGAGTCTGACTTGACAAGTGCGGGGAAAACATGAAAAACACCTTCAAATACTGATCATCTTGTTGGATGATCAAATGATGTCAATTGCTTCAAATCGCCAATCCAAGGAGCCTTTGAGTCGCAGCTTCTCCAGCCATTCTTCCAGCTGCTCAGGTGGGATTACCGATGGAGGCATATCAGGATAGCCTGACGAGGACGGAGCTTTGGCGCCAAAGCTCCTCCAGTGCTCAACGGGTTTGCAGCGTCTTACAAAATGATCAACTCCGAAGTGCCGGGGGTCAATCCAAAGAACAATCACTTGGCGGATCCTGTTCATTTTGGGGTTCTGTTCATTTCGGTTGTCCAAGGCTCAGGTTCAACCCGCCAGCCTTTGCGCCCAGCCATGGTGCCGGCCCAACAGCGCGGGCCCAACGGGGCACCGGGTGGTTTAAGTCCGGTACTTCTGCTTTAGCTAGCTGGACTAAAGCTGATGGTGACTACACCAAGCAGCGCTCCCCCAAACAAAATCCATTCGGGAGATCCGGAGATCCCAATCACTGAGTGCAGTGATAGCCACCAGGTGGAACAGGCCCCCAAAAAAACGACTCTGCTACATTTGTGTTTCATTTTTTTGTCTCAGGCATTAGGATCATTAGGACCTGCATCACGTGCCAAATCGAGTGCACCAAGACCTACGTGCCATGGGTCCCCATGGGTCCGTGTCAATCGACCAGCTGTTTGGGAGCTGCGCTTTTGCGATTGGCGCGAGCGATGTCGAAATTGACCTCGTCAGGTGAGTCCGTTCGTCACGTTTTGAGACTCCTCCAAAGTGAAAGTGGTTCGAGGGATGGCTTGGATGAGTCTCGACCCAGGTCAACTCCAGGCACAAAACTTTACCAAAAACTTCCACAATCAAAAGAGGCCATGTAAAATGGGTTGGAGGACCTGATTATATGGACTCAGGCCAACAGTAGTCATCAAAAGGCCCTGCTGGACCAAAGAGTTTTCTGGGTCATTCAACCAAGCCAAAAATGAAGCCAACTTCCCTATCTTGCGGAAGAAAATTAGTAGCTGTTCAAGAAAAAGATGCAGCAACTACCGGGTGTTCATTCACTTCCCCTTCAACCAGATGAGGGTCACCTCATTCTGGATTTGACATGGCTACATCTGGTGATCCCATTGACCTTGCATGCATCTGAGATCTTACATGATGATAGTTGGTCGTTATGTACAGTATATACTAGGTTCTACATCTCAACTGACCTTTCTGGTGGTACTCTTTCATGGACTTTCTTTGTATCCCTCTTCAGGGGAGATCCAGAAGACGACCTGAGACGACCACAAAAGTGCCGCTTTGCGAGCGCCCATCACGTCCACTCAGCGGTCCAATCGTCCTAGACTCTACAGCATCCTCCACGGTTCTTGCAACACTGGATGTGACGCGATTGGGCGACTTCAATTGAAGTGGTACTGGCATGCCCATCATGTTGGTGGAGACGGAGCCCCCTGCTGGCCCTGCGTCCTGAGCCGTGATGGATCTCAGAAGTGGCAGTCACCTCTGGCAGGTTTATTATCAAGTTCCCGCCCAAAGACGGCATGGCAGCATCCAAATCATCCGCACGGAGCATGCACAAGTCACCTCTTCAGGCCATTGGTTGTTGTGGATGCTTCCACGGTGCCATTAACAAATCAACGGCATGGAAAAAATGCCATTGGCCGACACTGGCCCAAGGGCTATATAAATATATACAGGGAATTTGCCCAGTGGCTTCGCCAGCAAGGCATTGGGCAGTGTACCAAAAATGCCTTAACACTGCAAACCAATTCCAGATCGGCCTTCAGTGAGGGCACTCGAAAAAAGCAAAACACGTTGTTGCTCCGCTCAGGCAAGGCCTCGGATCTTCACTAGGCCTCCGCTCAGGCAAAGCCTCCGACGCCCATGGGGCAAGCGTCTCAAACAATCACTGGGTTTTCAGCATTCAAACGGACATTCCATGCGGTGCAGCCCCAGTCAAAGAGTTTGTGAAAACAAAAGCACATTATAACTGTATCGTGTGTGTGTGGTATGTTTTGTTAATCCATATTATATGTATACTGCAAAAACATATTGCATTTGTAAATGTACGAAATGTATTGCATTGTATTACGCATATCTTGTGCATGGAATCTAAGGACCCACAACCCGTGCAACTGACAAGACTGCCTAACAGCGGCGGCGCTAACCTGCCTGCGAACCCCCAAAGCGCGAACCCCAAAAGCGCGGGCCGCTCAGCAGCATTCACCACCGCGTCCTGCGTGGCTCGAGGGGCTCACAGGATGAACTCGTAACGACAAAGCCGTAGATGGCAGGTCTTGCTTTGGATAAGCTCACATGAAAGATTTCTTGTGCCATGGCGTGCAGCGCTTTTGCATCCAATGACGTGTAGCGCTTCTTGACATCGTCATCAGTTTGTCTAACGTCAACCAAGCGCCTCTTTGTGTTGAACATCGTGCACAACCGTACATTTTTTGGCCTAATTACCTAATTACTGAGGCTCGGGCGTCTACGTTTGGTGCAAAACATGAGCACCACTTGGAACCACCAAAACGACACAACATCGCAAATGCAGTACATGATAGTACATGCAAATACATGCCCAAAACCTGGTTTTTGATGGTTTTTGCGTGTCTCACCTGGTTTTTGCGCGTTCTTCCGCCAACAGCACCAGACAGACAGGCCGATGCGTCGGGGAAACACCCATGCTCCACTTGGCTCCTGGAAGCGCCCTGCCAAGTTGTTGACGGCACCCTTTGCACCATCTTTGATGTCATCAACGGCATCCTCATACCTGGAACAAAATCAGCAAGGCGTCTTGTACTCAGGCTACCTATGCCTATGATATCCTATGATATACCTATTATGTGTGTGTGTGTCCACCCCTGGACAAAGGGTTTCCCACCGCCACTCCTTCCATGCTTTTCAACTACCTTTGTCAACCACCTTATCCAAGCAGGGGGCCAGCGGCCGACAAGCAAACGCTGGCTAACAAAGCTATGCTTGCTCGGTGGATGCGGTCAGAGACGTCTGACCGTGTACCTGCCAAGAAACTGTTGACCACGCTGTCCAATTGTTTGGTTTGCTTCCATGGTGTCTCATGATACCTTCCCCATAAACAGGTTTCCCACAGCCACTTTTGCAGCTGCTTTGCGCCGCTTCGTCACCACAGTCAAGGGAAACAACCTTTGTTCAAACACCTACAATTTTCGCGGACTTTTCGCCATGCCGTTCCACCGCCATCCTTCCCATCGTGGGAACTGATTTAACTGAATACAAGTGTCAGAGTGTGTTTCGCTCAGCCGTCCCACTCGGGTGCTGAGTGTGATCCCCGTCACAGGGGCGCGGTTCTTACATGGGAAAGCAACCACCACAAAGCACCACCACTCATCGGACCCTCACAGGCAGTCACCGACACCCTCACTGAATCAACCGATACACTGGCCGCCGGGCCCAAAAACGGTTACTTTCGAATACATCAGATTTCGGATCCATCATGCATGTTTTTTCCACATGTTGCAATTTTAGATTATTGCCGTGACCTTTTCATCAGCAGAACTCAAGCTTGTGCACTGGAGTTCTCCAATCTAATTCGAGATGCATGATCACACTTGACAATCAGCTCATACCCAGCTCAACCTCACAACACACTCCCCATGAACAAGAGCGCTGACATTTTCAACATCACCATGACAATACACCTTGGCGCTTTTCAGCTGCATCCTTGCCGCTGCGCCGCGCCGCGCCATAGCGACGACTACGATATGCATTTTCCATGGCCATATGCTCACGCTACACCACCACCACTACCTACCACACAACCTCAACCCACATGGCCGCTACCACAGCCGCCAACTGGACCCACCTTTCCCTCGCCACAACCATCAGCATTCCCTCACCCACAACCACAACCATTTCAAGCACCACCTACTATGCCCAGTCCAACCGCCACTGCACTAACCTACGGCACTCCTTCCACCTGGACGTTTGTGCAACCATCTCAACTGCCACCGCAGCCCACACACCCACCTCCAGTGTTTCCATCCGCAGCACCGTCCCCTTCATACATGTTGCCACAACTACATCCCACACCACCTGCTGAACCGACACAGACACATCCACTTCCAACACCACAACAAGCAGCAGTCGCCCATCATCCACCCACAGACCCACAATGCGCCATCCCCCAGGGAGTTTGGCAACCTTACTCAGTCTTTCCCCCAGTCACACAACCTCCACCCCAACCGTTGCCGCCGCCGCCCCCTCCACAAGCCATCGGCGCTCCACCACCAGTTCAACCCTCACTCCCACAACAGGCGCCATCGGACCCCACACCACCGGCCCAACACGTCACCACAACAGCCACGGACCCTTCAATACCGGTCCAAAACGTGACCCCTCCAGCCACTGGCTCCCAACCTTCCGAATCACCATCCATTGCATCAGCACCACCAGCTCCTGTGCCTTCACTACCTGCAACCGGCAAGCCCGACAGCACCGCCTCCCCGGCACCACCACCACCTTCCCCCCAGCCACAACACAGCAGTCGCCGCCACCACCACAAGAGCCGGCGCAAGTCCGATCATCACCACCGAGGACGCCACCACCACCGCCGCAGGCATCGACATCACCGCCACTCAAAGCACCACAGCACAACCCGGCGACGCCGTTCACCCTCAACATCCACCTACTCATACAGCCTTACACCATCCCGCAGCCGCTCACCACAACCCATCGACTTACGCCCCAACACTGAACACACCAACACCGACCCCTCTCAATATCCCACCACAGCAGTCCTTCGTCGCCCACTCAACCGTTGGCGACCCCCACCCAACTTTCACGCTCTTTCACCTGCAGACCAACTCCTCGAATGGTTCGAATTCCACGCCAACCAACTCGACACCCCCAACCGACCACAGCACCAGTACATCGCCAATCTCCTCACCGACTGCAACATCACCTACAAGGAGATCACCGATTTCCGACAATATACCCACGCCAAGTGGAACGACACCACTCGCCAATATGACCAATTCCAATACAACGCCATCTCACTTCCTTTCCTCAACACAAAGGCCACCACACCCGAACCACCCGCGGTTTCCCGAGCCACTTCAACCCACCGGGAAGTCGCCCACATCAACGCCGGCCACACAGGCCCGGTCGGCAACATTGCCAACATTTTACGCCAAGGTCGATTTTTAACCAGCACACTTCACTTTGCCAACTACCCTGGCTTTTTTGCCCAGGGTGTCCGCATCACCCACAATCAACCCCATGATCAGAGCGAATTTGCTCGCATCATCCACAACACCTGGCAACTCCACAAGAACTCCCACTCCCTCATCATCACCCTCCTTGCCTGGGGCGCCGCCACAAAATACACCTCTGGAGGGGAGGAACAAGCCATGACCCTCCTCAACGACTACCACGGCGCCGTCTTCCACCAGAAGGGCCGCTGCTGGGCGATCCACCCGGACCATGCCATCGTCAAAGGACTGGCCTGGTCCACGGACTCCACTCCACCCGACATGTAACACCACTGTCCAACACC